TCAAAAAAATTTAAATCACTAAAAAAAAATTAGTTTAATATATTAAATAATTCAATAATATACAATTATTTAATTTATTGTAGTTTCTTATTTAGTATCTTCATAATTACTATTACTATCTAATAATAGATTAATATATTTGTTTATTTCTGAATTAATTTGTTGAAAATATTGTTGTTGCTGTAAATGAAAATCACATGTTTTTTTAAGTAACTAACAGCCTTTTTTTTGTTTGTTTAAACAATAATTGCATTTACATAAGTATTTTTTGTTTTTATAATTAATAGAAGATATTTTAATGAAAATAACTAAATATTAATATTAAAATTATATATTTGTCTTATAGATTGATTTTTATAGATTATTGAATTGTAATTACACAATATCAGTATAACAATCATAATACCAAAAACTAGTATACATATTATAATATATAAAAAAAAATTATTAGCATAACAAAAACCAAATTCGGTTTATGTTACAAACCAAAAGCAATTACAATTTATATAGCATAAAAAAAATTAAAAATTATTACAATTTAATCTTTAATATACTCAATAAATGCTACCCAATTATCTTTTTTAAAAATTTTTAACTAGGTAATCATTATATTATCAACTAAATCTAATGTTACCTAATTATTATTTAATATTTCTAATAGCTAAACCAAGCATGATCTAGCTACACTATATGTTTGCAATTTTCTGACTAAAATTTTTTTAGAAAAACTTGGAATTTCTATATTTATTTTATCTGATTCTATAGTTTTTTTTTTTTCTTTTTTTTATTAGTTATTGGAATTTTAAAAGAATTAGATTTGGTTTGATCAATATTTAATAGTTGGTAGATTGTGATTTTTCCCAAAAGTAGTGCACATACTTGTGATGCTGCTTTTGTTTCTTTTTGTCAATTGGCTAATATTCCAATTCATTCCTTCAAATAAACATAAGACTGCTAAAATTCATAAAGTTTTCTTAAGAATATTCTTCTGGATACTTCTGAAGTATATGTTACTATATTTAAATTATTATTAGAAATGTAACATTTACTCATTAAGTTATTAGATAATTCTAATTGTTCTTCAAATTGTTTTTGTTTTTTTATTTAAAAATTGTTTATTAAAAACACTTGGTGCTTTTCTTAATGAAATAATTTGCTCCTGAACTAATGCAGGTTTCTCAGTATTAGTTTGTTTAAAATAAGATTCTAAATAAGAATCTAAATCTAATATTCCCTTAATTGATGAACAACAAAATTCTGTTGAAATTGTAGTAAAAGCTTGCATTATTATAATTTTTAAATGTTCAATAAGCTCTTTATAATATTCAGACTTGTGTACATCTGAATTTGAATCAAAAAAGGTGCCACTACTAGAAGGCCTTTTTCTAATAATCAAAAATCTGAATATAATTTAGCAACTTTTAACTTCGTTTCTTTGAGAATATTATCTTTAGAAATTTGATAATTTATTAAAAAACTTAATAAAATAACTGGTTCATTTATAGCTTCTTTCAAATTTACAGGTTTAAATTTTGAAAATTTAATTGTTTTTATCAATTTTCTAATATATTTAACATTAACTGGCTCAATTATAACAGTTTCTGTTTGATTTTTGAGCTTTGCTTTGCATTTTTCAGGACATATTTCAATTTTATCTAAATTAGAACTACAAGAAATAGCACTTAACATTAAACAACTACTAATTATATTTGAGTGAATTTCTTGTAATTCTAATTTTTTTGATTGAGTAGATGTAAATATTGATAAATCTATAAAATAAAATAAGTATTTAAATAAAAATAATTAAATAAATAATTATTTAATATATTAAAAGACTTACTAGTATGTTGCTTCTTAATAGCTTGTATATATTCATTATTATTATTGTTATCTTCATACTCATTTTCTTCTTTATATTCATCTTTACTTTCTTCATATTCATTTTCATTTTATTCTTTGAATTTGTTTTTGCCTTCTTTTCGATGTTCATTTTCATCTTTTTTTTTAGATTTCATTATTTCAATTTCATTAACAGTTTTCTTTTCATCTTTTTATTTAATTTAATTAATATATTATTAGTTAATTTATTTATTAAATATAAAATTAATTATAAATTAAACTTACTATTTGATGAAAATATGTGCAGTTCTTCATATTTTATTTTAAAAACTTTATTTTTATTAGGGTAACTACTTTTGCTTTCAGGAGGGTTCTTATTTGCTTCACTTTCACAGGAATTTAGATTGTTTCACTTTCACAGAGATTTAGATTTTCTTCACTTTCACTGAGATTCAGATTTGCATCACTTTCACAAGTATTCAAATTTGCTTTGCTTTACAAAGGTTCAGACTTGTTTCACTTTTATAGGGGTTTAAACTTGCTTTGCTTTTATAGAAGTTCAGACTTGCTTCACTTTCATGGGAGTTCAGACTTGCTTTACTTTCATGGGAGTTCAGACTTGCTTTGCTTTTATAAGGGTTCAAACTTGCTCCACTTTCACAGAGATTTGGATTTGCATCACTTTCGCTTGGATTGTGATTTGCTTTACTTTCATGAAGGTGCTGATTTGCTTTGCTTTCACAGAGGTTCTGATTTGCTTTGCTTTCACTAGAGTTCTCATTTGCTTCACTTACTTCACTTTTAAGAGAACTCTAATTCATTTCACTTTCACAAAGATTCTGGCCTACTTTGAGTATTTCATCTATTTTGCAAGAAACCTTTCTTGCAAATGTTATATCTTCTTTGTTGCTAATTTTATAAAAATAAAATCGTTTTCGACAATTATCTTTGTAAGTAATTTTGATTTTATTTCCAAAGAATTCAATATGTTTAATATGATTGTTTATGTTGAATATAACTGTTAGGTATAATGAATGCATCAAATTGTTGTTAATGTAATCTAAAAAATTAAAAAAAAAAATTAGTCATATTTTTAAAACAATTAATAATTAACAAAATACAAGTTCAGATTTTGTTAATCTATTATAGAATTATTTAATTTTTAAACAGATATAGTTTATATCTATAATTTATTGCACAAATTTTTTTTGTCAATGTAATAGATTAACAAAATCTGAATTCAAATTTTGCTAATTATGTAACTAATTTTATTGTTAATTAACAAAATCTGAACTCAGATTTTGTTAATTACTATATATAAAATTATATTAAGCAATTAATTATCTAATATAATTCTATAGTAATTAACAAAAT